AATTTTATAAAAAAAAATTAATCGACGATAATTTGTAATAAAAAGTCTAATTTATTATTTATTGGATTAGCTATGAATAATGTCGGAATTTGCATAATAAACAATAAATAATATTTTTTATTAAGCATTCCGATATTGCATTTATAAGTTTGGTTCTAATTTAATATACTATACCATAAAAATAGTTTAGTTTAATAAAAACGAATAATGTTCTTTATTTAGATATAAAATACTAAAAACGCATTAATTATGGGGCAATTTGATACATTCACATTATTTTGTTCTTATTTTTAATGGATAAATTATATCGGTAAATATTTTTTTTCGAAGAAACTTTAGATTTTAAAATCATGAGGATCATGAGATAGAGCTAATTTAAACATAATTATTGAATCAATACAAATTCAAAAAGAACAATGTTTATTTTATGTCACGATTTTTATGTTTCAAAAGTCAAGTTTCAGAATTACGAACTTTTATGTTCATTAATCGTCTATGAAAAAATGTATTATTCATTAAATAAGGATGCAAATGATCATTTGATTATATAATTGACCTAAATATTTCTTTTTAATTTTTGTTTTTCAAGTAATAAAATAATGTATCGAATAATACCCGAAACATATAAATGATAAAAAATAAAAAAAAATGACATGAACGTTCTATCTTTGTGCGTATATCCTTAAATGTTGCGTACTCCGATTACATGTCGCAACAACTTTCTCCGATTATGTAACATGCCAGATAGGTAAAACATCTTTGTTCTTTCGGTATCAGACGTAACAGACGTAAGAACTGGATGATGATCGAAAAATGTAAAACAAAATTGGTTAGGTGCTCTAGATCGGATGTCGATTGATAAATAACTATTGTTCAAATTTAACGATCTAAATAAATGATGACATTGATTACAAATTAGAGAGAAAGACATATTACAGATTTCCAGAAATTTTTTTTATTCTAAAATAATGTCAGTCAATTTCGGAAAAAGTATATGATCGTTTTTGTAACTTTCTCTATTAAAATTATTTGAATAATCATGTGATGATAAACTGTTTAAATCTGACTCATTTAAAAGCTCGAAAAAGAGTGGTCGCATAAACACTTTATACTTTAGGACTTTCATGCGAGCATCAAACTTAATATATTTTTACGCCTAATGATAATAAACCCTCGATATTTATATTTTGTATTCTTTAGCTTAGGTGAGCACTTTTAATGCCAAAGCTCTTTATAATCGAATAAAACTTTCGTTACAATTACTATAGATCTAAACCTTTGTATAAAGTGTTTGTAACATGCAGATCTTATCAAAATTATGATGATGACGATTAACGTATCTAAACAATTACACGTGGTATGTACTTAAATTTATTCAAATTGCAAAATGGGGCCCTACATGACGACGCCATTTTTCATCAAAATTTCACAAAAGGCAAACGGCCGCCTATCTAAAATGCAAAGCCATAACTAATATCGATCTCTTCCGCATAGAAAGTGGAGGTTATCGGTTAGCCGACTCTTAAGATTACCTTTCGAGAGGCAATTGCTGTTACGTATGATCCTGGTAAAAGCAAACTACCTTTTCTTCGTAATGCGTTACAACTATTACGTATACGTACGATTCCATTAAAATCCTCTACCATGGATAACAAGATCCGTGGTTATTTAATTATATGATACCATAGAATCGTATAATAGTTACACGTAATACTTAGTAAAATTTCTTTCGGTGCAACTATTACGAGTTGAGGTTATGTCACAGTTATTTTCAATTAATCATGAAAAGAAAAAACTTAAGAATTTGTTTTGTCAACTATCATCGTAGTTTCAATTAAAATTTTAAACTGTTTTTGTTTTCCGAAATTAACTATAAAAAATGAAGTTTTCTCTTCTAAATTAAATTTGCTTCTTAAGAGTAATCTAAATGTATTTACTCTTTTGAGAAAACAATTTGTTCAAATAATTTGTAAAAAAAACATGAAAGAGACGTTTGATTTTCCTCTTTCCTTTTCTTTTTTTTTTACACGAACGAGCACAAAAATGTAAAACTAATAATTTTTTGTTAACAGTTCATCGAAACTTGTTTATTCAAAATATATAGAAAATGTTCATATAAACTTACGTTTTCTTCACTTCCGTTCCGTTTCTACTTTCAATAATAATAACTATTTTCCTTGACGGTAATCCGTCGAAAAGAAATTTTTAATATAATTAAACTCAATGAGTATGTCATTGTATAAAATCGAACGAATACTACCTTTATGGCACGATTTTTTATGAAAACAAAAGAAACTCGTGAAAGTGGGATTATTATATTACGATTAATGAAACACAATGCAATCAAACACGTTAAATTTTGGATAAACAATAAATTATTTCAACGATAAAAAATACATATTGTTAGTGATAAATGTTAAAATATTAGATTAACCAAAAAGTTTTGGCCGCTTAATTAAATATGAATATAATTAAATAATAATTAAATATTAATAATAAATTATTAATTATAAATTAATTGTATAAATTTATTAATATTTAAAAATTATTTTGAAAAGAATTAAAATTTTTTAATTAATTAAAAATTATTATGCTCCAAGAGAATAAAGTTGTTTGATAAATTTGCAGTTTTAATACTTTAAGTGTCTAGTCCTATTTTCGTCATCAATATTTGCATACTAATATGTATGAAATCTACTGATATGTAAATTATCAGAAAGGATCTCGAAGTATAAAAAAAATATTTTTATGTAAAAATTTTTTCTAAGTGTTGAAATAATACTTAAAATAAGATGTATATAATAAGATGTATAAATGTTTTTTTACTACCGGTTTTTCAATAAGTTTTTTAATGGTCAACTTTTTGCTACAGTATTGACTAAGAAGATAATTATATTTCTCCAATATTTTTGGACTTTAAAATGGTAAACCTTCAAATTCAAAATCATTTATTATTGTAGTAGACAATATATACCCGTAAAAATAACAAGTATTTGTGATATATCTTATGTCGATTGGTATCTCACATTGTTTTGACTAGTTTGACATTGTTTTGACCAGTATCAATAATTCGATTAGAAAGAATCAGGAATATTTTTTTCATTTATTTTAAATTTCAGATTACAAGAAAATCCGTTCAATAAAATTATTTATAATATAACTAAATTATTAATTGATTAATATGTCATATAATCATAATATTATGATTAATTATCTGATTGTAATTAAGAAACAAATCGTTATTGAAATTTTATTTCTTCTTTTTCGACATAGAAACGTTATGTAAAGTTTATTAAAAATACGTTAGAAAACATGATCGTTTAAATAAATGAAATTTAATACACTTAAATGCAAGGCATTACGAAGATTAGAAAAATATCATATATATATATCATATATATATATATATAATAAGTAGAGGGGAAAAAAATAAAAAAAAATACATACCTAGACACAAACCGGTCTACGTGCTTGATGGCAACTGTTCCTCTCTGTTCGTACGATCGCTCTTTTATAATTTTCAGAGGCACCTTTCTTCTTTCTCAGCACAGGAACCTTGCGTCTCACGAATGAGTAAATTTCTTTTAAGTAAAGGGAGCGAGTAAGAGAAAGAGTATATGTGAGAAAGAGAAAAAGAGAGAGAGAAAGAGAGATAGAGAGAGAGAAAAGAAAGAGAGAGGGAGAGAAAGAAAGAAAAAGAGAGAGAAAGAGAAAGAGAGAGAGAGAAAGAGAGAATATTTTTGACTAGTTTTCAGATTTATCGCGTCCTTCTGTTGAGTTCGAGATAAAAGAAATTAATGAGAATTTAAGGAATAGAATTTTTTTTAATAGCGATTTGTTCAATTTATTACTGGATTTATGACATATTTCACAATACATCTGTTTTATCGTTCTTATGGACGAATACCAGTTATTCATTACATATATTTATCTTCTTTGTTTTTCTACCAAAGTTTTTCTAACACTTATAGCTACCCTTTTTGTTACATACGATTAATATATATTTCGTAAAAAACATTTCGTTCTATATTCATAGAAACGAAAATATTATTAGGAACAAGGAAAAGATGGGAACGATTGTAACTTCGTTGTTTCGCTTTTTCATCATATATGATAAGAAAAAATATTACATGCATTAAAATGGAATTTCTGGTAAACGCGGCATAACCAACATAAGTTGTTGAATGTTATATAATGTGAAAGACGTAACGAGCAAATATTGAAGATTTTCTGTTAGTTCTGATATAGCTAATGACATTATGTATTGGAATTTTGGAACAGGATGTTTGAAAAAAATTGACATTTAAAATGGCGAAAAGTATTTTTCATGATAACCCGCGTTTGTTCAAAAATATATTATTTATTTATTATGATATTTATTTGATTTGATCTATCCGTTGATTATTAATTATTATATTTAATTAATAATAATAATAATAATAATAATATAATAATAATAATAATAATATATATATTATATATAATATTATGTATATATTATATATATATATTATATATATCGTGTATATATATATACATAGATATATATATATATATATATATATATATATATATATATATATATATATATATAAATTAATATGATATATAAGAAACATTCAAGGAAATGTATTATTTTAATCATTTTGTGTGAATAATATTAAAATGATAATTTCATAGATTTTTTGATCGCATGATAAAAATTTAGAGTAATTGTACATATACAACATTATATTATTTTTTCTCCAATTGTAATACGTAATATCATAGAGAGATACACAGTTTTAGTGAAATGCAAGTAACGACTATAAGAAAGTTTTATAAGAAGGAAGAGAAGGAAAAGATGTATTACGTACGCAATAGGGCTTTAGTCAATGTTGAATTCGACGCATGTATTTCAAATGATATATATATATATATATATATATATATATATATATTCTTTAAAAATATATGCTAAGACTTCTTTTATTTTTAATTAGGAACATTTTATCTTCTATTACAATCACAAAGTATAACATAAAATTTGAATACACATTTATATCATAGTTTGTAAAACGTGCTTTCACTATATGAAAATAATCGTATTTATGACAGAATATTTGCTATTATGTTTATCTTTTATTATGAATTACAGTTCATAATAATTGGTCAAGTTTGATAATTTCTAAATATATATAATAAAATAACAATTTAGTATTGGATCATAAGAAAATATTATATCATATTGTATTTTTTAATCAATCTTCTTATTTAGTTATTTCAAAGATAATATGTTATAAGTTGATATATTCTCAAATATTATTCTCGACCAATGATCTGCACCTTTGCATAAGCACCTTTACAACCGCTATTAGATACCAACAGACTTTGTTTCACTTGCAGTATTTTATCTTTACTAAGTTTTAGACGACTATCTTTCATTGCTTGCATTATGCATTTCTCCAAGGATTCTTCACTTAAAGGCTTATATCCAAATATGTATGCATCGTTGTTTGCTTTAGAAAACACAGCTGTAATCTCTTCAATTTTTGCATCCAATTCAATCGTACGATCTAAATTATGACTTACTTTCTCTACGTTAACTACTGCTAACATAGTGATACAAGTCTTTTTTAGTTTAAATATGTTAGTTGAAAGGTTCACTACGTCTAAAATATCATTCTCTCTTAAGTTTTCGAAAATAATTAAATTACAACGATATGATGAAATCCCATTTATGTTAGCCTTATTTAAAGGCGAATTATATTGTAAAATTTTATTTTGACTTGGAAAATTTCTTCTTATAATGTCGATAGTATAAGATTTTCCAACTCCAGTACTTCCTACAAGTATCGCGAGCCTTGTACAGGCCTTATGTGTTTCAAGAAATTCAATTAAAGATGGTATAAGTTTATTTTGACCATAAATTTTTTGTTGTAACTCAATACTGGCATTGGAGAAATGTAGCTTATGATTGCAAGTATATTTTACATCTTCCTCTTGATTTAAGAAAGCAGCTATCAAAAATACAAATATTGGTATTAATATAAAAAATGCAATTTTGTAGCAATAGTGCACAGAATCCTTATTTTTTGTCATGATTGATGATACAAGAGAACGGCATTTCTTCTTTATTTCTTCATATGATTCTTTCTCAGAGATAGTGTTTGATTCTTTTATTTGTTCAGTTTTATCTTCTGGTGATTTTACTTCTATAGGACTAATCAAATTAACAGTATCAATTTCTTTATTATTATGATCTGATAAATCAATTTTGTCTACTTCCATGTACTCTATTTCATCCCATTGAGGTTTGTTCGTATTAGCTAAATCATTAACAGGTTTGTATAAATTCCAATCAATACCTTCCGAATTATTTATATGAGGAATAGTAGTTTCCCAAGTTCTTCTATGTTCAGTATTATCTGTATATAAACTTTCTGATATTTTTAGTTGTCTATAAATAAAACATATGTGCATATGAACACCATTTAAACAACAATCTTTAACAAACAAAATTTGATCCTTTACCTGATATTATTTGCTTTATTAACTATTTGTTCACAACTATATTGCCTCATTAAACTAGGAGACTCTGGAGTTTGGAAGCATTGTTCAATAAGTATTCTACTAGTTCTAGATGGTAGATCTGAAAAACTGACTGTTCTGGTCAATTTATGTTCAGGTTCGTCGTCTAAAAGTTTTAAAGCTGCAAAGTGTTTTTCCATTACATCAAGTAAAATTTCGAAAGTTTCCTAAAAAACAAATCATATATCTTAACCTTCAAATCGTTTACTGGTATTTGATTTAATTCTTACTTCACTCATTTGCATCTTCAAAAATATGACATATTTACATTCGAAGGATATTTAACAACGTTCTTTTACCTTTTTCTTTTTTTTTTTTGCGACTATAGCGCATTTATAAAAAAAAGAAAGAATAGAAAATTTACGACACGTAAAACAGACAGAAAGAAATAATATCAACGGACGTTGAACATTAATTAAAAAAAGATAGCGACGAGAATTTAAAAATCACGCATGCGCAATTTTGTTCGTTCGTTCCGCGCATTCTGATTGTCCGATTCCGATTATTTCCTATGTCCATGAGTTAGATCAGTCTTTGCTCGCGTAGTGCTGAGCGCGTGTATAAGATTGTTCAGTGTTAGGTAACGGATCCTACGTGATGTGACATTTCTATGATCACAAACAATTCCAAAATGTATCCGAAAAGTTTTTTCGCTTCGTACTTTTGGACTTTATTAATAATCACAGTAGTTACAGCTAGAATCCATAAACTTGAAATACGGGTTAGTATCGCGCAAAGGATATCTCATGTTTAATGGCTCTTTTTTCCTTCTTTCTCTCTTTTTCAATGATTCTGTGTTTCTTTTTCTTTTTCTTTTATTCTTTCTTCTTTCGATTTACATATAATTTTGTTTCGATTACGATGCAGTACTGTAATGATCGTGCAATATCACGGATGGATAGGCGTGTTACATCGATATCTTTCTTTTATATATATGTGAACATATATCTTATATTCGATCTGTGTAATACGTGGTGTATACTAGCGTGTCATATATATGCGTATGTACGTACATTATGAATTCAATTATGCAATCAACAATCGGGAAAATTTTTTATGAGATATATGTAAAGAATATTTTGAATGAAATAAATCGATTCCTATATAAATTATATAAAGTTTAATATCTATGAAGTGTCTATGTGTGTGTGTACTGTCTGTAATAGGTTATGTGGAACCATCATTAGTTCGGTGATCATCAATATCACATGTTTTGTTTCTTTTCTTTTTGCAGAAAGACACAAGGAAATATATTTCACTCAGTACGTTTGGTTTTTACAAGGATGGTATACTTAATGTCAGTCTTACGAATTTCAGAGCTGATCCTTTAGACAAAAATGCAGTAGTAAGTTATACACAGTACCATAATTTTGTAGAGACACAGCCACCTGTTTGTTTTGTCCTTTGAACTTAATTTGTAAACAAATTATTGCCAGAAATGTAAATTTACATTTTCTCAATTACACCGTGTAGCTTTGATACATAATATAGAATGAATAACTAAATATCATTCAAGATTTAGAAAATTAAATAAAAAGTATAACATACATCATATGTGTATATATATATATATTTATATTTATATATAAGATTAAACATTATATTCTCTTTTCATATTTGGTTTATCAAATTTGCCTTGAAATCTCTCGAGCATAGTCGGTATATATATTCTGTGATATATCTATGTATTAATGTTTAAGCGAAACTTTCTTTATTCGGACTTCAGTTTGGATTCAGTCTGGACCGGACACTTAGCGACGCAGTAAATCCTTATTTAGATAGTCATCAAGAAAGATGTGTGCTTCAAAATATATCCAATCCTAAAACAGAACTAAAGAAGAAGAATGATAGTACTGTCATATACTTTACAATGGACTTTAAAAATTTATCGTAAGTAAAGATTTTATCTAAATTATATTTATATTAAAAACATAAGAACTTTATTGATGAGTATATTTTTTTATTTTTCAGATTGAAGATAAATTGCAGTCACAATATACATACAGTTCATATATATAAAGATTCTAGTTTGATACCAGATTTTAGGATGAAAAGAAATTCACTGCCAACAAAATTTAGCGATACAGCGCTTTTTCCAAGAAGGAAACGTAACATATCTATACACGGTAAGTAATTCATTTTGTTGAAATTTTTAGTCAAATGTTAAGTTTTGAATTTTTCTATTATATGATGGACACATGCAGAGATTAATACCTATACTTCTCTCAAAATCATGATAAAAATAGATCTCTTTAAATACACGATTTATTTCTGTTAAGTTGAATTGCTAATCTTAGAATTACAATTTAAATACATCTGTTACCAACAGGTGGAAAGTGGTAATTTGGCTCGCTCTTTATAACCGTGATGTTCATCTTGTTTCAGACATTGATTATTAATATTCTATAAATTACGTATAGGATATTCAATCGTGCCAACTTTCAAGGAAACGCATTATTTTGAATATTCCAAATAATGTTAGAAAAATTAAATTATATATTCACGGTTTAAAACATTTTTACTATAGACAATATATGAAGATGGTATTATTGGGATCATACTTAAATACTTTCATACAGAATTTTTATTATAATTAAA